GGATTTTAGAAGCAGGAACTTATACTGAGCAGCAAGAGGGAGCAATTTGCTCAACTTTTATTAGGTCTCTACTAAGTGTTAAATATGTGGGAAAGGATATGGTAGTCCTGTTCTAGAATAGAATGGGGGTGGAGGGCTGGACATTGATCGAGCTGTGCCCCTCTGCTGCCAAAACCTATCCGTGCCACCCAGCTCTCTCAGATCACTTGAAACCCTTTGGTCTGAGTGCTCTGGTAGCCCTGGATGTTTGGATCCTACCCACTTCCCTCCCCTCACTCAATTCTATTCTTCCCCTTCCTCACCCTGTTTTAGGTTCTAGGCAAGCTCTAACTTTCACCAAGTGCTTCACTCCCTCTGGACCTCTGCACTTCCTGCTGGAATGTTCTCCTACTGACTAGGGCTGGCTCATTCTCCCCCTTCAAGCAACAACTCCCATTTCTCCTCCCGTCAGACTTCCCTATTTGGAATGGGCTCCTCTAATTTCTCTCCAGCACAACAGCTTGCTACATAGTCTTTGGAGCAGAGCTTCTCAAACTTTAAGTGCATACATACCATCTGGGGACACTGTTAAAATGCAGATTCTAACTCAGTACATCCAGGAGGAAGCCCGAGATCCTGTAGTTCCAGCTGGAAAGCCACCAGGTGATGCCATGCCTCTGACATGATCAGCACTGCTGTAGAGAACTTCCAACATGCTGCCATGGTGTCGGGAAGGTATTTGTTTTTGATACTTGCCTCTTTGCATCCTGGAACGAGGGCTCGATAAGGCAGCATCGGCCATCTGGCTCACCCCTGTCACCCCAGTGCCATGACAAATGCTACGTGCTTCCCAGCACACAGAAGCTATGAATTAACTATTGGATAAATTAAAACATTCCAAGTGTGATGAATGTTACACACAGGAATATACATGGTGCTGTAGAAGCTAGTCCCATCTGAAGGGACAGGGAAGGAGGGCTCATCACTGTGCAGCCCCGGACCCTTGCACAAATTTGTAAGAAGCCTTTTCACAACTCCCCCTGTTCTCTGGCCCATGCCCCACACTGTGGTAGCTCATCTGGACTTAGCCAAATTTTCAAGTCTCTAGGATAAAAAGTTACCTATTCTTCTCCCTACCTAAGGCCAAATGAAATACCCCAGGCCTCAGAATGGCTGACACTGACCAGGTTAGGAGGCAGGCAATCTGCTTGAGATGCGTCACACCTGTTCACCTGTGACTAATACACCTTATTAGTCTCTGGTGGTACTTCTAGTTGGTTTAAAAAAAAATGTTAATTAATCACATTGTCTGTAGGGTACTATTTCAGCCAGTAGAATGTAAAGTAGTTAAGCCTAGGGAAGGTACTGCCCGGCCCCCCCCCCCCCCACCAAAAGCAAAAATCCTGACTTTTTTGCTTTCTCTAGTACCGAACATACAAATTATCTAAAGCCTAGGGGAAGCTGAGGTTTGATAGAGGGAAGGGACAGGCGAGTCATGTTGGAGGCATGGAGTGATTTTCTATATTGCTTGGGAGGTAGTAACTCCTGAGTTAACTGTGTAAGCACAGTGCTCACAGAGGTGAAGTGTGAGGGTTGTGGAATCCTTATGTCTTTATTCTTTGCTATCTTGATAACTTACATAATCTCTGTAAACCTCAGTTTCTTCATTTGTAAACTGGAGCTAACAACACATGTTTTTTGTGAAGTGCTGTGAGGGTTAATGAAAAACTGAAGGTCAAGTAGTGAGCACAATGCTTGGCACGGAGCATTAGCTAGCTCAAAATAGGGCAGACATTATCATCTGATTAAATACGACAGAAGAGACCATAAGAACAAAATTCAAAATCAGGGTGATGGTGAACATGGCATTTCAGTGAGGCTTGGGATCACTTTTGTTTAGGAAGGGCCAAATCAGGCTGTAAGAGGAAGCCGTGACGGCAAAGATGATGGAGTCCATGAAATCATTTGCAGGGGCACCTGGGTGGCTCAGTGGGGTTGAACGTCTCACATTGGCTCAGGTCATGATCTCGCATTTCGTGAGTTCGAGCTCCACATCAGGCTCAGCCTGTCAGAACAAGAGCCTGCTTCCGGATCCTCTGTCCCCCCTCTCTGTCCCTCCCCCACTTGTGCTCTCCCAAAACTAAATATTAAAAAAGAAAAAAAAGAATTGTTTGTAAAATGACTGATCCACCTGCCCCTAAGGAATCACGTTTATCAACAGTCAGCTGGTTCTGTGATTGCTGAGTAAGTATCTCATCCAGGTCAGAAAAACTTGCTAGGTTTCTCATAGGGCCTGCTGGACCAAACATTCACCTTCCTAAGCTTTTATTCACGTTTATGAGTGTGCTGCCTCAGCTTTCCAATTTAACATGACTCTCTCACTGTGCTGCATTCACTAGGTCATTCTGCAGCTAGCAGGGGATGTGGGCTGCTAGTCCTTGCCTGACTTCAGCAATCAGTGAAACAATGCCCTAAACCAGCGGTTCTCAATGTAGGGCAATTTTGCCCCCACGGGACATGGCAACATCTGGTTGTCACAGCAGGGCGGGACGGGGGAGGGGCATGGTCAGGATAGGGTTGCCACTGGCCTCTGGTGGGTAGTAGCCAGAGGTGCTGCTAAACGTTGTTCCCTGGACAGAACACGCCCCCACAACAAAGCATTACTTGACTATCAGTAGTTGCAAGGTTGAGAAACCTTGCCCTAAACTGTACTTGTTTTAAACCTTTCTAGTCCTCAGCACCCCCGGTTAAATTAGGCCACTAAATAATATGCATGGTCCGCCAACTCTGACATTCTAGGAGGTGTTTTTTGATTCTGACCTCCAAAATTTTTGATACTAAAAGTAACCAATAAGGAGTGGCTCCGACAGACTTTGCTTTGGCCTCAAGAGGCCGATCTCTTAGAGCTTCCCTGTGGCCTCAGCTGTAGCATCTTATCAACAGCCTCTCTGGAGGCTGCAGGGGGAGGTGGTGGGTGGCTGCTAAAAGAAGCTGACACCCAAAGCAAGCACTGGCTTCCCATTTATGGTGTATGATGAGCTTTCCCTGTTTCTCAAAACCAGTTTGGTTTGAAGATTATCCCCCTGTTGACACTAGCCCACCCTGTGAAACTGACAAGCCCACACACCTTTGTTGAGAAGAATGTGTTTCTCACTCATTATCTGAGAACCTGTGAGCTGCTTAATAAATATACTGATGGAGATTCCTGGCACATGCTTATCTGAACAAAGGCCAATTATATTCCACCCCATGTTCTATCAAAGAAATGCATTAATTGATTACAGCAATGAAAAGAAAGCCTCTACCACAAACAGACAGCAAATGCCACCAACACTGATTAAAGAACACTGTCCAGTGACCTCAATGATGCATTGAAAAACCTAGTCAGTGACAACTTTTTAAAGGTCAATTCAAAACAAGTAATCCTATAGACATCAAGGCAATCCTTTCACTCTGGTGAAGCAGTTAACTAGGGAAGGTCTTGGGGCTTTAGCAGACAGATAAAGGAGAGAAGTAAAAGCAATTAGACAAAATGGATGCTGTAATCCCACTTTCTAGACCTCACAGCCACACCAAACACAGAGATCCAACTTTTCCACTTCACTATTCAGAGACTGGCAGCAGTTTCTCATTTGGAGAATGTGAATTCCATCCCTTGATTTCTTTCTCACTGGTGCTGCTTGTTTCTTATCAACGTCTATAACCTCAGGGGGAAAAAAAGAAACTCCCCAAATCCAAGGATAATGCTATGTATTTTATCATTTAACTTGGAATCCCAAAGTATTCCTTCAACACACTGGAGTATTGCTGACAACTACAAGTCTCACTACACAGCCTGAAAAACTGCCCCAGAGCAGAAGAAAAAAAGTCCAGATTTAGGGACGGCCACTTTCCAATCAGGTGGAGGTACAGCACTGGAAGCATCAGCATCTTTCTGGAAGCTCTTTTAACATAGAGATTCTCAGCCCCAGACCGACTAGATCAGAATCCACAACCACATTAAAATTTGAGAAACACTGCTCCCGGAGACCTGACAGGACTTTTATTTTTTTTCCTTCTACCAGCCTGCGTTTCCCCTAAGGGGAAAATGGAAATATAACAAAGCAATATTTGTGTATAACGAAGGGGGAAAAAAAAAACGGAAGGAACACAGTTCACATGATCGTGGATGTGGGGGTGGGCTACGGGGAACTTCTCTAATATCTATACTTGTGTGACTTTTCGCTTGGCACGACCAGCGTTTCTTCTGCAATGCAGCGAAACAATTTTTAAATGGCGCTAAGGCTCTCTCACAACATCCTACGGATGGTGTTTAGAGAGACCGATTTAGAAGCGCGGACACTTGAGAGGTGTTAAGTGAACGAACGAACGGAGCCGGTCCTCCAGCCTCCCCGACACTGACAGCCCGTGAGCAGCTCTCCTCCCGGCAAATTCCCTGGTATTCGTCCCCTGGTATCCTTGGCCTGCCCAAATCCAGGGTCCGGGGAACCTCTGGTCGGACCCGCAGTGGCTGGAGCGTTCCGCAGGCTCTGTAACTTTCCCTGGAATGAAATAAATAAAGACCGTAAGTGCTGAGATAGCGGGTCCCAAAATATTTTTCGTTCTCCGCAATCAGCTAAGAAAAGAGAGGGCGGGGGAGGGGAGTTGAAAGTCACGATCAGTCGCGGAGGGGGCTCCAGGAGAGTTCTTCTGGGCGGCAGCAGCAGCCTCAGCTCCAAACTCGCTGTGCTTTTCTTGGCCTGTGTTGGTACGCTATAGCAAAAACTGCAAGAGAGCAGAGAGGAGTCGCCAGAGAGAAGGGCTCTGACTGGCGCCCTGGGCAGGCCAGTTCCCTCGGGGAGCCTCCGGGTCTCCCCATCCTTCTCCGCCTCCTCCTCGTGGCAGGGGGCGGGCCGGAGGCAGCCGAGGCAGGATGTGCGTGCGCACGCGCTCGCGCATATACGGCTGGAGGAGTCCTGTTCCTCGGGCATTTTCCGAGGAAGTCTGGAGCAATTAGGCTCAGTCCGGGGAGAGCGAGCGAGCGAGCGGGAGGCGCCGTCGGCGCGTCTGGGCTGCCTCGCAGGGAGGGAGGGGGCGGCCGGCCGCCCGGCGGCGACCCCGGGCCCCGGCCGCCACCATGGGCTTCGAGCTGGACCGCTTCGACGGCGACGTGGACCCGGACCTGAAGTGCGCGCTGTGCCACAAGGTCCTGGAAGACCCGCTGACCACGCCGTGCGGCCACGTCTTTTGCGCCGGCTGCGTGTTGCCCTGGGTGGTGCAGGAGGGTAGCTGCCCGGCGCGCTGCCGCGGTCGCCTGTCGGCCAAGGAGCTCAACCACGTCCTGCCGCTCAAGCGACTCATCCTCAAGCTGGACATCAAGTGCGCGCACGCCGCGCGCGGCTGCGGCCGGGTGGTCAAGCTGCAGCAGCTGCCAGAGCACCTCGAGCGCTGCGACTTCGCGCCCGCGCGCTGCCGCCACGCGGGCTGCGGCCAGGTGCTGCTGCGGCGCGACGTGGAGGCGCACATGCGCGACGCGTGCGACGCGCGGCCGGTGGGCCGCTGCCAGGAGGGCTGCGGGCTGCCGCTGACGCACGGCGAGCAGCGCGCGGGCGGCCACTGCTGCGCCAGGGCCCTGCGGGCGCACAACGGCGCGCTGCAGGCCCGCCTGGGCGCGCTGCACAAGGCGCTCAAGAAGGAGGCGCTGCGCGCCGGCAAGCGCGAGAAGTCGCTGGTGGCGCAGCTGGCCGCGGCGCAGCTGGAGCTGCAGATGACCGCCCTACGCTACCAAAAGAAGTTCACGGAGTACAGCGCGCGCCTCGACTCGCTCAGCCGCTGCGTGGCCGCGCCCCCCGGCGGCAAGGTAGGCGCCAGCCACCGGCCCCCAACCCCTGCCGGGCCCTCCCTGGGGACCCGGGCGCCTCCTGGTCCCTTTGGGCACCGGGATGCCTGGGACTTCCCAGGAGCATCCCTGTCTCCTTCCACTGCTTACCAGCGGTGTCACTAAGAGCAGGTCGCTGAAGCAGTTGAAGCTTGGAAACTACGGTCAGTACAGATTCCACGCACAGTGTGGAATTTAGCTGCAGCAGCTTCCGGGGTTCTGGAAAGACTAAAAGGAGTCCACAGTCACTGTGGAGTAAGAATGGTGCAGATCCTGATGCACAGCGTGAACTATATCCAGCAACCTTAGGAATTTCAGAAAGAGTAAATGAAATACAGTTCTAAGTTCACAAGGATGCTAGAAAATAGGCCCCTGCAGTCAGAGCTGGATTCGGATCTGGGCCTTGCTGCCAACTAGCTGGCTGACCTTGAGCAAGCGCTTAGGCTCTCTAAAGTTAGAAACTGGTCCCTAGAGCTGTGACACAGGGGTAAAACACAGCCAGGCCCCATCTTTGGCCTTCATCCGGGGATTCCAGAAAAAGAAAAAAAGGAAGCGCTACCAAACATAAAGTAATAATGGAGAGTCAGTTCTTTCAAATTGGAACTGTTAGGATTTGGGCGTTTTGCTAATGGCTGAGTGACTGTGTGGTTTAACCTCCAGGTGTCTCAGTTTCCCTAAATGTGAAATAGGTGGTTGTCAGCCCACAGCGAGAGAATGTTTAAAAAGATCTGGCACAGGGCTGGATGGATGTTCTCTACAGGGGTTAACATCTCCCTGGAGCCGTCCCCTTGAGCTGGGAGTTGGTGTAATTATAATGGTCACCACTAGTGATGGCTTGCTTTGCTCTAGGCCTTAGGCTAAGTACTTCTCAGTTGTTTCCGTTTTAATCAAGTGAGGCAGCTGCGATCAGTCCCATTTTGGAGATGGAGCAACTGAGCCCCCTAAGGGGCAGCCGGGGCAGTCATGTGCCTGGGTCATAGCTTCTAGTGCCATAGTTGCCTTCTGAATGCTCATGCGCCTGTCTTTCCAGCCCAGGGTCATAAGCACTATGGTGTTGTCTCAGTATAACTCCAAGGGCCATTTTTTGGGTGTTTTTTATGTTCCAGCAACTGTGGGAAGCACTTTACAGGTGTGATATCTATTTAATCCTTTGGGGGTGGAGGAAGCAGGCTTAGGGAGGGCGTAGAACCTGTCCAGAGTCATACTTGACTCTGGGAACAGAGCGAGGATTCAGGTTCTGCGTCAGAGTTATCAACGTTGGTTTGTATTGACATTTGGGGCCCCGTCAGTGTTTATTGTAGGAGGCTCTTCTCTGTGTTGTAAGATGGTTAGCAGCATGCCTGGCCTCTACCCACTAGATTCCAGCAGCATGCCTGTCTCCAAGACATGCGACTAAAAACGTCTCCAGATATTATCAAGTGTTCTCTGGGGTTGGGGTGTGTGTTCATACACATGCAAAACCGCCTGTTAAGAACCACGGTCTCCCTGATTGCAAACCCGCATTTTATACCAACAGGGAGGGCCACGGTGCCCCTCTCTGGTTGCCTGTTCCATGTGGCTGCAGGAGCACATATTTGCCCAAGGGGCCTGCATCTGCTTTGCCTCTCCCTGCCCTCTCCCAGCCCCCTCTTTATGCACATACCAGGCCTGCAAGTTTTCCGACCCCCCACTCCTCCCCGCCCCATCCTGGCCCCCTGGCCTGTCTGTCAGCTGCAGGCCCAGCAGCTGGCCAGCTCTGGACGAAGGGCAAATATTTACAACTGGGAGGCTCACGCAGGACCGCACAGGCATACAAAAGCCTGGTGTGAGCCTGCAAGTCCCCAAAACAGAGGGCACAGCTTGGTCTTCCAGCAGGCACCTGGTTTGCGGCAGAGGGGTGCCTGAGTTTCTCTTGTTGATGCTGTCACGCGAACTTCCTGCGTGGTTTTAAGTGATGCTTATTTATAAATAAGCCATTCACTACCCCAGAAGTGATACATCATTCATTGTTCAGCTGGTTTGTTATTTCTTCTTGCCTTTCTGTTTTCTTTCCGGAGTGTTTGGTGAAACCTTCTCACAATCGAAAATGGGATACTTGAATCTGAACTGTTTGAAGCTGCGCTGGGGGAGCCAGGAGGGTAATCAAGGGTATTAAGCTTAGGGACAAGATGTTGCGTTTTGAGCTTCCAGAGAAAGTTCGCCTCTGGAGCTGGAGCCCGCCCTGGGACTCCTATGCACCCCGGTGCTCGCCTCAAGGACAGCCAAGAATGGCCTGGCCTGCAGTTTGCACGAGTTCCTTTCTCTGGCTTCAGACCCTGGCTGGCCTCAATGAGGCCTCAGGGAAGCTTGCGCCTCTTGCCCCGAAGTTAACCCTCAGTGGCCCTCGCTGAAAGCTTTTGCTGTTCTTGCCTCGGCCAGAAAACCCTCTCCCACTGCAAGCTGTTTAAGAACTTGTTTATTTCATTGGGTTGACTCTGCTCCTGCAGGGTACTGTTTATTCTCTTCCAAAAGGCAGGAGGATTTATATTGCTTGGAAACTCTCATGCACAACACTTTTTTTTTTTTTTAAATAAGTCCTAATGTTTATCTGTCTGTTCCAAGCTGAAGTAGATAAGAAACGCTTAGAAGATTTTCACTACCAGTCCTTCAAGGCCTAGCTAGACCTTGTTCCGTAAAATGATCTGGCATTTTAAAAAACGATCTTAACCTTTGGGGTTTGGATGCCAGCTGAGTGTTGAGGGTGTGTGTGCGCTGTACCTACGGAGGCATTGTTTCTCTTGCTCTTAGATGGGTGCTGGGGCTGTGCTTCTCCAGCATCCCTATGATCGGAAATCACCCAGGGAGTTTGTTAAAACAGATTCCTGCGTCTTACCTCCTGAGGGTACTGATCATTAGGGCTGGCTTCGGTCTGCATTTCCCACAAGCTCCCGGGTCAGTGCTGGTCTGCCTGTCGTGCTGGGTTAGCTTCTCCACTGGATGAAGACTAGAGGTTCAAGTACAGACCTAGACGAACAGGTATGGGTCTCCTCCTTTTACAGAAGACCAGGGTAAAGCTCTAAAACCCAGACTCCCCAGCAGTTACACTGTAGATAACCACGGCCTGACACGGCATCTCTGACCAACAGGAAGCTGCCATCTGGGCCACAACAGACTTGCTGATGATGGTTTGCTTGAATCAGTTGAAGAGTTTTGCTGCCAGCGTCTGTTTTCCCACCTTGGCTTACCCACCTGATGATTCTAAGAGCAGAAGCACTTCATAGCACTCTTCTCTGGCTTTCCAAGAAAGGGAGAGTTCTGAGCATAACTTTTCTTGAAAATGTTGAAAAACCAGAGACTCGTCCTTTGATACCTTCTGCCCTTTTATTTCTACATCCAGTCCATTGTTAAGTCTTATTGATTTTACCTCCAAAACACCTTTTAGAAAAATTTTAAATGTTTATTTTTGAGAGAGAGAGAGAGACTGAGTGTGAGCAGGGGAGGGGCAGAGACAGAAGGAGACTCAGAATCTGAAGCAGGCTCCAGGCTCTGAGCTGTCAGCACAGAGCCTGTGGTGGGGCTCGAACTCACAAGCCATGAGATCGTGACCTGAACAGAAGTTGGACTCTTAGCTGACTGAGCCACCTGGGGACCCTCCACGGTACTTTTTGAATCTATTTATGTTCTCCCTCCCTATCCAGTGATATCCTTGGTCCAAACCACAGTTTCCAACTCCACCTATTAATGTTTTGGGCTAGATAATCCTTCGTTGTGTGCGTTTTGGGGGGACAGTGTTCCTTGTTTTATAGGATGTTGAGCAGTATCCCTGGCCTCTACCTGCTAGATGCCAGGAGCACTTCCCAGGTTGTGGCAATCACAGATGTCTCCAGATACTGCCAGATGTCACCTGGGAAACAAAATCAGTTTTGGTGTGAGCCACCACCATATCTTGCCTGTACCACAACATCTATTCTTCCATGCAATTACCTAGCACCAGGAATAATCACTTAGAAGTGTCAATCTGAGGGCTGCCCGGGTGACTTCATTCGTTACGGGTCAGACTCTTGATTTCAGCTCAGGTCATGATCTCAAGGTTTGTGAGTTTGATCCCCATGTCAGGCTCTGAGCTAATAAATGAGGGGCCTGCTTGGGATTCTCTGTCCCCCTCTGTCTGCCCCTCCCTGCTTGTGCACATGCACCCTCTTTTTCTCTCTGAATAAACTTAAAAAGAAAAAAAAAAGGAAATGTCAATCTGATAGCCTTCTGAGAGGCATTATCTTTCCAGTTGCAGTTGCATGGCCGTGAGGTCCATGGTGTCCTATATCCTTCCAGCCTCCACCTGTCTGTCTGCTTGCATTCTTACCCCTTCTTTCTCTCTTCCCCGCTTCTTTAGTCTCTGGAAATTCCATGAATACGACCCTATGCTCCTTTGTGCCCCCTGGGCCTTTGCATGTGCTCTTTTCTTTACATACAAGTCTTTCCAACGACTCATCACTGGATAATCTGCAAGTTTCAAACTGCTGCCTTCTGCCCCTGCCTTTATGTCAGCACTTAGGGTTTGCTCATCACTAGATAATCTTTCTATCCTTCCCATCCCAGCTCAAGCACTACCACATCCACGAAGGCCTCTGTGACCTCAGATCAGGTCTGGTGCCCTGAGATGTACACTTTGGTACTTCTTCTCCTGCATGGTATTTATCAAAGTTGTAACTGACTAATTGGAAGGGCTACTGATTGTGTCTCCCCAGGAGGAAGCACCTCAGTCTTCATCAGGACTGTGCTCTGGACACAAGATTGCCATATGGGCTGTGAGCTCTCAATATGTGTTTGTTCTGTGGGTGAATTCAAGTTTGGTGAGGCTGTCTTGTCAGCCATCACAGCTTTTCAGATTGCTAACAAACAGTGAGCTTGTATTGAAAAAGAATGAGTTTTTCCGTGACCCCCAAGTTAACAAAATTGTTCCCAGGTTTTTGGGAGGCATTCTTTTTGTCCTACTAGATCCACCCGGATCAAATTGTATCAAGCAC